CCACCCTAAAATCCACCCAACCTGCTCCCACATCCTCAATCCAGTGATACCTCTCCCATTCCCAGCTGAGCTTTTCCTGGGACCCTCTCCCACCCCAAACAGGAACCCTTAGAACCACCCCTAAACAAACACCCGGGAACTTTGGGAAACCCATCCGGATGACGGACCCTGGGCGTCCCCCGTGTGCCCGCAGCCCGGACCCCGCGGCGCCCACCTGGAAGACGTTGCTCTTGTGCCCGCTGTCGAACTGCAGCACGGGCCGGCGCCGCAGCCAGTCCCACACCAGCACCTTGAGGTCGTCGCTGCCGCTGGCCAGGCGCGTGCCGCGCTGGTTGAAGTGCAGCGTGTTGACGCAGCCCGTGTGGCCCTCCAGGCCGTGCTGCAGCCGGAACTTCTGCACGAAGAGCCGGGCGCCGCAGGCCTGCGCCACGAAGCGCGAGCAGCCGCCCAGCTGGCGCTGCCGCAGCGCCGGGATCGCCCGCCAGCGCGGCCGCGGCAGCGCCCACGTCTCCGAGGCCACCTGCGGGCACACGCGGCTGTTGGCAAGGTGTGCGGGCTCTGGCAGCTGCGCAGGTGAGGGGCAGGGGCCTGCCATGTGTACAGGGGTCTGTCACCTGTTACAGGTGATGGACAGGGCTCTGTTACCTGTTACAGGTGAGGGACGGGGGCCTGCCATGTGTACAGGGGTCTGTCACCTGCTACAGGTGATGGACAGGGCTCTGTCACCTGTTACAGGTGATGGACAGGGCTCTGTCACATGTACAGGGCTCTGTCACCTGTTACAGGTGATGGACAGGGCTCTGCCATGTGTACAGGGGTCTGTCACCTGTTACAGGTGAGGGGCGGGGGCCTGCCATGTGTACAGGGCTCTGTCACCTGTTACAGGTGATGGACAGGGCTCTGTCACCTGTTACAGGTGAGGGGCGGGGGCCTGCCATGTGTACAGGGCTCTGGCACCTGTTACAGGTGAGGGACAGGGGCCTGCCATGTGTACAGGGCTCTGTCACCTGTTACAGGTGATGGACAGGGCTCTGTCATGTGTACAGGGCTCTGTCACCTGTTACAGGTGATGGACAGGGCTCTGTTACCTGTTACAGGTGATGGACAGGGCTCTATCACATGCTACAGGTGAGGGACAGGAGCCTGTCACCTGCTACAGGTGAGGAACAGGGCTCTGTCACATGTACAAGGCTCTGTCACCTGTTACAGGTGAGGGACAGGGCTCTGTCACATGTACAGCTCTGTCACATGTTACAGGTGATGCACAGCTCTGTCATATGTACAGCTCTGTCACATGTACAGAGCCCTGTCACCTGTTACAGGTCATGTACAGGACTCTGTCACATGTTACAGGTGATGCACAGCTCTGTCACATGTACAGAGCTCTGTCACATGTTACAGGTCATGTACAGAGCTCTGTCACATGTTACAGGTGATGCACACCTCTGTCACATGTACAGGACTCCGTCACCTGTCACATTTTGCTTTGTGTCTCCCACAATCGCCATGCACTGAGACTAAAAATGGAATGAAATCTTTTAAAACCTAAATAAAATCTTTTAAAACCTCACTTAAAACCTCAGTTAAACCTCATTTAACCCCTCAGCCTCCCTGCTGTAAATGTGGCAGAACCAGCAGCCACCCAGGTTTACATCTCCTGTGCCTCACTATGCACCAAGACTAAGAACGGAATTAAATCTTTTAAAACCTAAATAAAATATTTTAAAACCTCCTCTAAAACCTCATTTAAAACCTCTTTAACCATCTTTTAGAGCCCCTCAGCCTCCCTGCTGTAAATGAGGCAGAACCAACAAGCACCCAGGTTGACATCTCCTGTGCCTCACTATGCACCAAGTCTAAAAATGGAATTAAATCTTTTAAAACCTCAGTTAAAACCTCATTTAAAATCTTATTTAAAACCTATTTAACACCTCTTTCACCATCCTTTAGAACCCCTCAGCCTCCCCCTGCAAGCAGAACCAGCAGTCACCAAGGTTTACATCTCCTGTCTCACTACGCATGGAATGGACCAAGAATGGAATAAAACCTTTTAAAACCTCAGTTAAAACCTCATTTAAAACCTCTTCTAAAGCCTCGTTTAAAACTTCATTTAAGACCTCTTTTAACACCTCTTTTAGAATCCCTCAGCCTCCCTGCTGCAATAATGTGGCAGAACCAGCAGCCAGTCAGGTTTACATCTCCTGTGCCTCCCTATGCACCGAGACTAAGAATGGAATTAAATCTTTTAAAACCTCATTTAAAACCTCATTTAAAACCTGTTTAACCATCTTTTAGAACCCCTCAGCCTCCCCCTGCAAGCACAGAACCAGCAGCCAGTCAGGTTCACATCTCCTGTGCCTCACTATGCATGGAGACGAAAAATGAAATTAAATCTTTTCAAACCTCAGTTAACACCTCATTTAAAACCTCAGTTAAAACCTCAGTCAAAACCTCATTTAAAACCTCAGTTAAAACCTATTTAACACCTCTTTAACCATCTTTCAGAACCACTCAGCCTCCCCTCTGCAAACATGAGAGATCCAACAGCCACCAAGGTTTACATCTCCTGCGTCTCACTACGCATGGAGATAAAAAATGAAATTCTTTTCAAACCTCATTTAAAACCTCATTTAAAACCTCATTTAAAACCTTATTTAAAACCTATTTAACACCTGTTTCACCATCCCTTAGAACCCCTCAGCCTCCCCCTGCAAGCAGAACCAGCAGCCACCCAGGTTCACATCTCCTGTGCCTCACTATGCATGGAGACGAAAAATGAAATTAAATCTTTTAAAAACCTAAATAAAACCATTTAAAACCTCAGTTAAAACCTCAGTTAAAACCTCATTTAAAACCTATTTAACGCCACTTGCACCATCCCTTAGAACCCCTCAGCCTCCCCCTGCAAGCAGAACCAGCAGCCACCAAGGTTTACATCTCCTGTGCCTCACTATGCACCGAGACTAAGAACGGAATTAAATCTTTTAAAACCTAAATAAAATAATTTAAAACCTCATTTAAAACCTCATATAAAACCTATTTAACACCTGTTTAACCATCTTTCAGAGTCCCTGAGCCTCCCCCTGCAAGCAGAACCAGCAGCCGCCCAGGTTTACATCTCCTGTGCCTCACTATGCACGGAGACGAAAAATGAAATTAGATCTTTTAAAAACCTAAATAAAACCGTTTAAAACCTCAGTTAAAACCTCATTTAAAACTTATTTAACACCACTTGCACTATCCTTTAGAACTCCTCAGTCTCCCCCTGCAAGCAGAACCAGCAGCCACCCAGGTTTACATCTCCTGTGCCTCACTATGCACGGAGACGAGAAATGAAATTAGATCTTTTAAAAACCTAAATAAAATAATTTAAAACCTCATTTAAAACCTATTTAACACCTGTTTAACCATCTTTCAGAACCCCTGAGCCTCCCCCTGCAAGCAGAACCAGCAGCCACCCAGTCCTCCAGCGCCTGCTCCTCGTCGGACGAGTCGCGCTCGTGCGGCGGCCGCCTGCGGGGCGCCCTGCGCCGGGCGCGGGGCTCTTCCTCCTCCTCCTCCTCCTCGTCCTCCTCCTCCTCCTCCTCGTCCTGGCCGTGCCGCGGCTCCTCGGGGATGGAGTAGTGGCCGGTGTCGTCCATGCTGTCGCTGTCCTTGTCCCCGGAGCTGTCGCTGTCGCTGGCGCGGCCCCGCGCGGCCCCGGCGTCGTCGCCCGTCAGGCTCAGGCTGAGGTCGGACGCCTCCACCTCGATCCCCGAGGACGTCTCGCGGCCCTCCTCGGCCGACATGTCCTCGGGGCTGCTGGACAGGCTGCCTGGGGACAGGGACAGCGGTGTCACCGGTGTCACAGTGCCGTGGGGACATGGGGACACACAGTGACACCGGTGTCACACTGCCATGGGGACACACAGTGACACCGGCCCTCCTCGGCCGACATGTCCTCGGGGCTGCTGGACAGGCTGCCTGGGGACAGGGACAGCGGTGTCACCGTGGGGACAGCACGGTGTCACCGGTGTCACAGTGCCGTGGGGACATGGCGACAGCACAGTGCCACCGTGGGGACAGGGACATAGGGACAGTGTCACCAGTGTCACACTGCTATGGGGACAGGGACAGCGGTGTCACCGTGGGGACAGCACAGTGACACCATGGGGACTGGGACATAGGGACAGTGTCACCAGTGTCACTGCTGGACAGGCTGCCTGGGGACAGTGTCACCAGTGTCACACTGCCATGGGGACAGGGACAGCGGTGTCACCGTGGGGACAGCACAGTGACACCAGTGTCACACTGACATGAGGACATGGGGACAGCACAGTGCCACCGTGGGGACAGGGACATAGGGACAATGTCACCAGTGTCACACCACCATGAGAACATCACAGTGTCACCAGTGTCACACTACCATGGGGACAGGGACAGCAGAGTGTCACCAGTGTCACACCACCATGAGAACATCACAGTGTCACCAGTGTCACTGCTGGACAGGCTGCCTGGGGACAGGGGGACATGGGGACAGCGTGGTGGCACCGTGGCTGGCGCCTGCGCTGCCACCCCGCCACCGTCGCTGTCACCACCGCGGTCACTTTGCCACCGTCACTGCCACCCTGCCACCCTCGCTGTCACCGTTCCCTTGTCACCCCGCTCCCGTCACTGTCACCCTGCCACCCCCCTGTCCCCCAGCTGTCCCCTCACCGTTGACAATGTCCGTCCTGCCGTCCATGGTGCCACCCTTGTCCGACATCGGCGCCTCCCGCGGGAATCCCTGAAGGGACAGGGACACGGGGACATGGGGACAACCATGGGGACATGGGGACATGGGGACACAGGGACATGGGGACAGGGACAGGGACACGGGGACACAGGGACAACCATGGGGACACAGGGACACGGGGACAGGGACATGGGGACAGGGACATGGGGACAGGGACATGGGGACAGGGACATGGGGACACAGGGACAACCATGGGGACACAGGGACACGGGGACAGGGACACGGG